GGTATTTGTTGAAAGGATATAATAATTTCAATATAATAATAATAACTTCAATGATTAGACTGCGGTCTTCACCACCATCATTCATTCTGTCCTAATTTTCACCGAGGGCGGATCAAACTGAATGTTACAGGGGGTGTACAATCCCTGGGACCTTGTATACTTCAGTATTTGCACTTCATTTGTAACTCCTTTCTGATCATTTGTGTGGAGTGCACCCTCCTGAGGATCTTGCACCCTTTCCTGAAGAAATTCTGGATCCGCCCTTGTTCAAAATGCATTATAATGCTGTTTATCTTTAACACTGAGTCATTCTATTGAGTCATCACTATAGAAATTGTTATAAAAAACATTTGAAGTGAGAACTGTGAAATTCAGGTATACCTGCACTTCAAGCGATCCAAAATCTCTTCCTCTTTTCAAGTCTGCGATCTCTTTTCGTAGATATAAGAGCTGTTTTGCAGTGAAGTAGTTTAATTCATTGTTCTCCATTCTTTGCACTTCCAACACTGCTATCCATGCCTTCAAATAATTCGTTAGGTTATCACTCGTATCTTTCAGAACATCAGTTACGTTGTGTCTTCCAGTTCTGCTCGCACAAGGAAACTCTTCTTTCCAATCGAGATGGCTTACTTCTCCAGCCTCGCACAGCCTAAGGTACACTGCGCCTACTGTAATCGCTCCTTGTAAGACCTTGGAAAGGAAAAAAAGGCATTATATTGACATTGTGAATGTGTGCTGCAATTATCACAAAGGTTCTCTTACCTCATTAAACTTATCCACCACTTCCTTTTTACCTGATGCTTTTCCAGCAATAAGCATCAGTTTGCTCTGCAAGTCTCTCAAATCTTCCAATGTGTAAGTCTCTTTTGGTAGTCCTTTGGTTGTTCCATTTGGGAATCTCACACTTATGACATCCTCCATGTCTAATTCATCATCATTGCTGTTAWWTCCAATCGTAAGAGTACCTTTGTCGAGAATTGTTTCGACTTGCATAAGAGATGACATGGCAGCAGAGCCGTGGAAGTCTTTGACATTCTTGATCCATTCAAGGTTCCYGCTTGTGTCACGCTTGAGACAAAAAGGAAAAGGAGAAAACAGCTTGTGATTGTCAAACCACCTTTTAGTTTTACATGGGGTATGAAATGGAGAGGAAAAGGAAAATGACACGAATAAAATTAGAAAATGGTTAATTACAGAGGAAATGAAGTGTATCAGAATGAGATGACAAGCCAAAAGCAAAAGCAATAGGTAGAATATGAAGAAAAAAGGACAAGAAGAAGGAATTAAATTAAAAGACGAGATGAAAAAGTGCAAAAAGAGAAGATGACACAAAAACAACAGAAGAAACAGCAATATTAGGATAAAAAGTTGATGCATTCGAGTTGACGAGATGTTAGACAATTCAGGAGACGAAATCAAATAAAACAGTGACTGAAAACACGAGAAATTAAAAGAGAGCACAATAATATGATAGTGGAAGAACATTCACCAATTGCTCGGGCAAAGTTGGGTTCTCCTCCAGAGCTCTCCCAATTCCATTACATAGCTTCATCAATTCTTCAAAGTCATGTTCTTCCTTAAGGTCGTAAATGATTGGCTTAAATGCTCCAGTCGATGTGTGCAATGCTCTAATGCGATCGCTTTCCATGTCGCCTTCTCCAGCGGATATCATTGCTAGGTCGACTAAGACTTTGACCTCACTTGGTTCTAATAACACAAATAAATACCTTTGATCTTGATCTTAAAATTACTCTCCTTTGAAGGGGTTCTTAGTGCCTGTCACACTCTTGCTATATTAAGCAGATGTTAGTCGGGAGGGGTTGTGATTCAGGAGTGACACAATTGCAGTAAAGCTTCCAGCTCATGTCGGAACCAACATTGGCCGAGATAAAGGATTAACATTTAGAACTGAAATCATCTTTCTTACCAGGAATTTCTCTTTTCAGCCATGCGAAGAATTCCTTTGATTCCATGACAGCATCTAGACAGTCTATTATCCCATCAGATAATGTTTGTAGGCGTTCTTCTATTTCAGGGAAGTCATCTCGCAACGAATGTAACGGTTCCTGTTTGGACTCGGGACTCATCTAAGAGAACCCAAAAATCAAATGCGTAATTGAGGTAGATAGTCTATTGATCCATTGCAATTTTTAATATTCTACATATGCATTTTGACAAATAGGGTGGTGGATCAAGCTGGTCTGGTTGGTGGGGTTGACCAGCGCCTCCTGAGACCTAGCTTCCATTAATGCTTTGCCCATATCTTTTGTCTTTTCCTGACCATATGTTGATGGTGACCATCCCTCCCCGCATCATCCCTTCCCCCTGCGGACAACTCAATATTTTCTCAATATTTTGCACATTTATGGTTTATTTTTATTTATTCCAATCATCAATAAATTGATAATTACCTGAAGAAGCAATTCCTCCACGACTTCAAATCCACCTATATCGAGCTCCATTTTTTCCTGGAACTCTAATACCTTCTCAGCAGTATGAATGCAAGCTTTTCTACGATGGTATCTCTCAATCTTTTGCACTTGACTAAGAACATCTTCTTCTTCAACTTTTATGTCACATGCTTCAGAAAGGATAGACAAGTTTTGTTGAAGGTTTTGGTAGCGGTTTTCGAACGATTGAAAGTAGTGATCCACATCTTTCAAGAGGATTTCATCTCTGAACACTGAAGAAAGTAGTTCACGACATTCGCGGTATGTCGGGTTCCAGATTGACTCTAAAACTCTTTCCAGTGTCATTTTACCACTTCCAATGTCTTGTTTGGCATCTTTCAAATTTTCCTTCCAAACGTTTTGAAAAATTTCACTTGGGAAGACGACATGCAGTTTCCTTACCATTTCTTTTAATTCTTCGGAAATTTGGAAGAATATAACTTGGACCCTTTTTTGTGGATAATGCAAATGCACTGCCAATTTTTGAATCTCGTGTTCTGATACATCAATGTCGGCCCTCTGTTTAATGTCTTGTACATCCACTGTATAAAAAGAAAAACATTAGAGATCATAACAATTCAAGATAATTTCTCAGTCCAAAGAGCATTATATTTGGTTAACCACTTTAAATCGAATAAAGACAAACAGAAGAAGGGAATTAAAGCACAAAAGCAAACAAGAGCATACAGGTTATAAATAGAAATSGTGTATGAGACYATTGATTTAGGTTTCAGAAATTTTGGCAATACACCATTGGCTAAACTAACTAAATAAATAATTATACGTCTCACCATTTCGGATGATAAAGGAGATTTTCAAGAATGATTTTAATTCGTTCAGCTCTTTTTCAAACATTTCCAGCAGATCGAGAGTTCCTTGGAGGTTTTCAGAAACAGGATTTCGTTCAACCTCGTCGTCGTCGTCGTCGTCCTCATCCTCATCCTCGTCCTCGTTGTCGTCTTCTTCCATCTCTTGATTGCTTTGGGTAACAAGTTCTAAGAATCTTTCCTTATTCTTCTGAATAACTCGTAATGTGTTGACTTTAATGCTACCACTCGATATCCTGTCCCTTATTGTATCAAGAAGGGATATAGCCTGTGTGAGCAGACACTTGCACTCATCAGAAAAGTTCTCAGGATCTCTCCCTGAAATGAAAAAAATCCCCTATTTTGTTGATCATTGACGATTTTAACTAACTGTGCTATAACAAAAACTGAAGTTGAAGGCATAATGTGAACTGCAACTGCTGATAATAAAAGAGCAATTCCAGTTGGTGAAGTCCAAGGACAATGGACAGTGACACTAAATGTTTATCATACATACTGAAAAAACCAAGGTAGTCTGCGAATGGTTTCCATGTTAAGATATGCTCCAGCAGWCCTAACTCCTCTTCAGCATTTTTGGGCCAGCATTGTCTCATCAATAGTGACAGCAATTCACCAACTTTTTTGGACACTCCTTCCCTTTTTAACTGATTGAAAGCTTCATTAGACGTTCGTGCACTCTGAATAACATTTAAAAATAAGAAGATATGAAAGCAAAAAAAAAAAAAAATCGAATTGAGGCATTGAAACTTCTGGCAAAGTTAGGAATTCATTTCTTTTCACGAACAAGAGTATTCATCCAGGGTTTGTTAGAAATATCTTTGCAAGGGTTGCAATTAAAACAAAATCAGCCAGAAGGCTTAGTTAAAAGTTCACCTTTTGTAGCTAAAAATATACTCATGCAATAGAGTAAGGAGTCAATAATAGTCATTTTATGAGATTTCGTATGACTGCACAATCTTATTGACGAACAACCATATTAACTATGGGACAACACACAACTTAAAAACAGCACAGTCGCGTCACAAATGTACTGCACAATCGACGTCATAGAAAATCTGATTGCTCTAGAAATGAGACGAAACATCGTTATATGTACCTCAGTTATGTTTTTCACAGCATCAAAGGCAGTATCCTTAAAAAACGACTCCAGTTCTTTATCCAATTTGTTGAAATCTAGCTTTGAGTAGAATTCAATTTTCTTCATATCATCCATCTAAATTGTAGAATATGACAGATATCGTAAGATATAAGATGTATCTATCAAGCTTGATCTCATCACGAACAATGCAGCATCCCCCCTGAAGCACCCATCCTCCCACCATAACCCCCTCTCCCCAATAACCCCTTATTCGACGGTTGTAAATAGTAAAGCCCTTGACATTCGGTCMATGTGTGACCCAAACCTTATRCCATCTTTACCTTGTCGAAACGTGAAGCGACGTGTTTGGTCAGACCACCTTTCCAAACTTCGAGCAACACTTCGTCTGAAATTTCCGTTGCGTAAAGCTTYGAATAAACCTGYACAACAARAATCAATGGACCATTAAAAAGYCTTCATATTTTATGACACTAAAATTGTAAAATCGCAATAAACACTTTCCCTTCTTTATCTAAAAATGAATTAGTACTTACCAACAGTTCTTCGTTGCTGTATGTAGAAGTTGCATCAAAAAACTTCCCGGTAAAGAATCTTTCAAGACCATGAATAACTTTATTGAGAGCTTCTTCAAAGTGTTTCTTGGAAAACTCATCATTTGACTTTTCTCCATCTTTTCCAACATTGTCTCCATTTGTGGATRAACAKGATGTTTTAAGCATCGTCAAAGTCTTGGCCAAAACRTTGAGAAAACCACAGATAAAATTGATGTTGTCCTTAAACATCGCGAGAAATCTGTCTATTACTTGAAGTAAAGCGATAGAAAGAGATCTAAGTTCCACTTCGTTGTAAATTGGTTCTCTGAAATCAAGTATTAGATACAGAGCAGTCAGAACAGGGTATATATCTACGATTTGTCAGTTGAGAGTTGGTGTAGCTATAAAGCGGTGCACTGATGAACTTACTGTTTCCCATCATTGGTWCCMYTGSTTTGTTCMAGTGCTTCAGAYATAGASTTCCTACAGTAGTCRATGGATRATKCCTGTTCAAAAGCACAACTGTATGAGTTTGGSAAAAACGATAAAAACRACGCCATAAAAAGGAAGCGAACAAACACAAATCGTGAAAATAATTTATATTATCTTTTTTTGTGTGCACTGSGAGTTGCTTAAATATGGTTTACATATGGATTTTCACCTCCTCTTGTGAAATATACTGCGTGCTCTTATCATGAAGGAATCTTGCCAAAGCCCAACAGACTTCGTGAGGAGGAATGCCTGCTCTTTGCGCGCATTCTCCAAGACTGACGAGAGGCAAACTGAGCAAAAAGGTTCTTTGCAGCAGTGGGTCCAGATCAAACAACGGCTTCACTTGTGGGAGGAACTCAAGAGTAGACCTGAAAATGAAATTGAAGTTTTGAATTTAAGTTATACAAGAGTTATGCAAAGTTATTTACCTCTGCCATGGCCACGCTGATGCATGTAGGGTTGCCAGATCGAGGTTATATGTTCCCCAACATAATTTCTCCTGCAGAGCAGCAGTGTCAGTCAAGGGAAGAGGGACAATGTGCGGTTTACAAGATTCAGTCAATAAATGAACCAATGGTATTGCAAGAAGCCACTCATAGATGTCCGGGTACTCATTGATTGTGAACTGACACAAGCGCAAGATACTTTCTGAAAATCTGGACCTAAGAATAAAATAACCATCTTTAGTTACAACCTGTATCAATCATACCAAGATACATTGCTTTGTATGCAAAATGTCGTTCTAGCGTTTGTACTCTCAGTTAGATACCTACTTCAAACTATCCTTGGAGTAATATTTTGCAAGCCTTTCTAAGATCCTCTGCAGCTTCTGAGGGCTCAATACTACGTCAATGGCAAGACTGCGAAACAGAGTCATCAAGTAATCTCTTGATGGATGATAAGCTGTATGTCTATCCATAGCACTGCTAATAATCGCAGTAATAGCCAAAGATGTAGCGAGCCTATGTGCTTGGACGTTCTCTTCGGTACTTGTTTGTACTGATATATTGAAATGCAGCCTTGGTTCAATGTAATTCAACAAAGCCTATTGGGAGCGAAAATAAAGTCAGTCATGAAATAATATAACTCGATTATCTACGCGCTCTGATTGGTCCATAGATTATCACACGTCTATGATCTTGGAAAACACTGATTTGTATAAAGTGTGTTGGCATTTTATCGATTTGGAGTTGGCGAAACAGCAGTCTGGTATTCAGTAACATTCTTATTACTTAAAGTTTTTTTTCAGTTAAATAGGACCGAATTGTCTGGTTGTATTTTGAAATATATGTTTACTGCATGATTGCTCAGTTCCAACATATTAGCAGTCCTACCTGCTCCATTGAAAAGTCTTTGAATTCAAGATTTTGAACATGACTGCCGGTTGAAATCATCTTGTTTTCCATGCAGTAGATAACTTGGTTGACAATTTCTAAAGCCTCAGAACCCTTAAATGTTGCGTTTGTTCTTTCGATGTAAAAAGAATCCCACTCTGGGAGCATCATCCTCATGGCAAAATATCGCCCTAAGGCTGGGCTTGGAAAGTTGGATGTGAAAAAGTTGATAAGCGAACTCCATGTTTTCGATTGACTATAGACCGCATCGTCAAATTGATGCCATATTCCTGCAAAAGTGTAAATTAAGTTTCCTTTAAAGATGAGACCATGCCTAATATATATTAAAGATACATTTCAACCCTCTCATCACACAAATGAATGGTTCGTTATAATCATTATTTTAAAACCATACAAAAGTACAAGTGCAGAGTGTACAATTTCAGCGATAAAGTGATAGCCACTCACCATCTGGTCTTTGAAATTTTTCAGGTATAACTAAACATCGATTTGTATGAACCCCTTTGAATGATGGATGATTAATTATTTCTTCCCATAAGTACTTGGGTTTCTTGTCTCCCTGTTTTACTACGACGTATTTATAGGGCAGTTTGTTGCGTGCTAATCTCAACGGAATTTCTGTCCCACCAGCTATAAGCACATATCCGTTGTCATATCTGAAATCAGAAAATAAGTATCACCAAGTGTGATAAGAGAAGCTTGTTTATGAGTTTAGCAGAGTGATTGATATCAGATATTACTGTACCTGACTGGAGACATTTGCACTTGTTCTTTCATCCAGTTTTTGTCATGTGAAAGTTCACCACAAACTATTATCTTATCACCTTCGTTTGGCTTGAAATCAAAGTAAGGAGACAACAAGGCGTGAAAGACTACTCTCATGCAGTCATTACGTGTAGGTGGAGGATTTCCTTTGTTGTCTGGTGGGGTTTGACCACTGAAATGGAAACAATGATTTTAGAAGAATTGTGATTTATTGGTTTAACAAGTTTTTTAATCAAATGATTGATTGATATATTTATTGATGTTATCGACACAATTATTACGGTGTTAATAAAATGGATGTTCATCTGCACTAGTATCAAACATCAACAACTTATTAAACTCAATTTGAAGGTACCTTGGTTTCTCATTCTCTTTGGTTGATGTTGCCATTGTTGAAGTTCTTGTTGATGATGATATTGTGGTTGTTGTTGCTGTTGATGATGATGATGATGGTGCTTTGGTTGCTGTTGGCACCGACAGTGCTGTTGTAGTTGTTACTGTAGATGTTGTTGTTGCTGACTTTGATAATTGTGTTGTTGCTGTCGTTTTTGTTTTTGCAGCAGCTGTCATTGCTGTTGTAATTTCTATTGTTGATGTTCTTTTTGCTTGTGAAATTGTTGTTGGTGTTGTTCCATCTGATGTCGTCTCCTTTGAAGTTGATGTTGGTGTTGTTGTGCCATCTGCTATTGCTTCTGAAGATGGTGTTGGTGTTGTTGTGCCATCTGCTGTTGATGCTTCTGAAGATGGTGTTGGTGTTGTTGTGCCATCTGCTATTGCTTCTGAAGATGGTGTTGGTGTTGTTGTGCCATCTGCTGTTGATGCTTCTGAAGATGGTGTTGGTGTTGTT